CGACACGACGCGCAACGGCTGCCCAGGGCTACAGGGTGGCTGGCTGAGAAGTTCGATAGTGAATGTCAACGGGCGGCCGGGTTTAAGCCAAAGACGGTCGCGTGCGTGTTGACAGGTGGGCTTGTGATGCATGTCACCGTTCGGTGTGGTCGGCGGGTGGCGTCGAGGTTGGCTCCGGCTAAGAGCTTCCAGAAAACCACCCCTTCCAAATCGGGGTGTCGCACCCTTGACGTTTGATAACCTGCACGCCAGGGCCTCCGGAGGAGACGTTGATTTGCTGCGCATGTGTGCTAAAGACAAAGCTGGGACGGCAAAGTCGATCAGGGGGCGAAGAAGCTACGGGCGGAAACAAGGTGACGGTGTTTTGGAGGCTGAAGATGGCAACACCCTCAATGCTTGGATGCAACCTTGGCGTCAGTGAGCGCATGCGTAGGCATTTCTGTCGCTGTTTCGAAGCGCCGGACGCCGGTAGCATCCTTCCTGGCCCCCCAGCCCAGCTGCAGGCCTGCAGCTGCGACCACGTATAATCAATGGAGCATGATGAGCCTGTTCATCCCATCCGTATGGGTATAGGTATATTTAGACAGTCTCGTTTGAGATCGGTGGATATCCAAAGGCGAATGTGGCAAGCCCTCTTCCTTACGGCTGGTTCGCGATGCCAGTTGCGGACCCAATATAGAAGGTAGATATGCAGAATATTGCATCTGGACTAGTATCTGTTCGCAGAAGGGATCGCGAGGAGGACGAAGCCAGGCTAGCTAGAGTGGCGGGGAATTGCAAGCAAAGCAGCAGAGATCCTGCTACCCCCGCCGGTAGCATTGAGATGCGCAGTGCATACGCAACTATAATATAGCTGCTAACGAACAAAGCTGGGGCTGTGGCTGGGGATAAGTGTGCAATGCGACTCGGAGAACGACATGTTAATCAATCGAGCGTCGAATCAAGCCAAGCTAGACTGGCTGCCAAGTTACAGTATGCCATTTGTTCCAGGAACCTTGATGGGCTTCGTGGCTCGGCGAGCAAGTTGCTGAAAGTGGAAGGTCAAGTCACGAAAGCAGCTAATAGTGCAAATTGTCTACATTCCGGCCGGCGAGGTTGTGGTGGTGTCTTCGACAGAGTTGAAGAAGGGTTCAAGACTCTGGGGCCCTGGTGTGAGGACCGAAATAGCCTCTGATAGTTAAATCATGTCGATCGCAGGAAGTTGTTGGTTGTCGCGTCCGTGTGACAGGTCGTAGGATCATCTTCAAATGAATGCCTGTGAGAAGCCAACCAATGGGCGAGCATTACGGGCTTGGCCTCTTAGGGCTGGCAGCTTGTAATGGCATGGGTGTTGAGCTACAGCTTCTACTTCCTAAGGCTTTCCAGGAAGGTGGCCTGCATGTCAGAAGCATTCCTTTGTTTGTGCTACATTCCTCCAGAAAACCGTCAGAATGTGTGCCTGGCAGTGCAGATCAACAGCTCGGCCGATCGTCACGAGCAAGCCCGCAAGCTGAAAGGGCCAAAATGGAGAGGCCGTGTGCGACTCATCAGTGGACGCACGTGTGCAAGGTTGTTGTTATCTCCCCGTTTTCAGCACATGGAAACGACGCTTTGCCGTGCTTGGGAAGCCTTATCGAGCAGCGGAATTGGCAACGATGGGACTACAAGTGGAGACCACCAGATGCCGAGAGGCGATTTTTTCTGGAACCGTTCCAAGGTTCGCTAACAAGGAACACATCCCGAGGCCGAACGTCCTGGGTACTCTAGCGGCTGCTATTAGCAAGGCCAGCCGGCATCGACCTGGTCGTCGGCAGCTTTTGGGAGAGCTGAAGGCAGGCTGCGATGGGGCTGAACATCTAAATTTTGCACGCGATAGCATAGCGCTTACACAACCTATCTGCAATGGAATGTTTTCCATGTGTCATACGAAGAGGGGATGCTGGAGGGCGTCGTTTCTGTGGAATTGAGAAACAGCGTGGCCAGCGTGGACGAGCGCCTCACGCACGCGCGCGCATTGCTTTGCTTTTGACGCACCAATTCCTGGGCTCAGCCAGAAGCGATACCCGGTGTCGGGCTGGCGCGGGCTTGCTTGTCGGTGAATTGACTTTTTCTCCAACACCGATTACGAAAGCCTGCAAGCATGTGCCACAGGTAGGATGACCGTAGGAAGGTAATTTGAAATGATGTCGGACGAGGGCGCAAATACACATGGCACGATGGCAGCCCAACCGTCGACGATCTTTCCCATCCGGCCCTGCGTGGTTTTTTTTTGGTAGCGGGTACTCAGTACTTGTCAGGCTCGAAAGAAGGCGAAGACGGCCTCATCTGCCCGGACGCCCATTGGCCGGCAAGCACGGATCGAGGAACGGCGTTGTGGGCCGGGTGGAGCGGCTAGTGGCTGGCGTTATTTCGACTATCTGAACAAGGCCGCAGCCAGATCCACTAATGGCTTCCTTCTCGGCTTCGATGAGGTTTCTAGAAGGCGGCCAGAAGCTTACGAGGCCTGCAAGTGCCAGTGCACGGCATGGTGCCACGGGGCGATCTGCAGGGAGCTGGCACAGCAGCACCGAGAAAAGCCAATGGCTGACGGCGCGACGGGGTTGCGGAAGACCGGCGGACCTCAGCTGCTGCTACTTTGCTCGTAGCCAGCTGACGAGAACATGGTTGAAGGCCCCGAGGGCACGACGGCAGATGAGACAGCAGTTGCACGCAATGCAGGGGGCAGGCTAACCAACCTGGAGTCGGGAGCGAAGACGACACCGGTAGGACAGGCCGTCGAGACCCCCAGGACGTGCTCAGTCGTCCGCGCTCGCCGTGGGCGTTAGTTATCTCCCTCCCAGCTGCAGATGCTGTACTGTACTCCAAACATGCAGGCGCACGAGGGCAGATGCTCGGGCGTCGGGTGCTCGGATTGCGTTCGTCGGAGGGGGCATTATTCAGGGGGGGAGCACCTATATTCGAGAGCACCTGGGTGTCTTGCTCACGGACATGCCTGGGAAGTCAGACCCGCTGGACTTGAGATCCAGAAGCTTATTGCCATGCTCCCACGTTTCCCCCAGGACAGGACCAGGGAGGGCGCGCCGACGGGGGCCCCAAGGGGGCGATGAAGACTGACCAGTCAAGATTGATGCATGCCTACTGTGAGTTAGTTACCTAGGTTCTCAAACCTGCAGACGACACCTTTGCCGTGGCCCGTCGGAGCAGAGAAGGCGCACCGACTTGAGTGTGTCAACAAGCCGGGAGTCGCAACGCTTCCTGTCCAAGGCTTATACGTAAAGAAGAAGAAAAAATTTAAAAATAGAAATGACTTCTCCGCCGCGTACCGCCAGCGTGAATCGGACGCAGGCCCAGGGAGCGAGTCGGATCGGTGTCCATCTGATCCACTCTCGCTTTCTCTCTCGCCGGAGCAGTCAAGCCAACCTACAAACTGGCGACGACTCTAGCGAACCCCCGGGCCAGAACGGCGAGGTCGGCGGGTGCTTGCCACAGTATACCGTCCTGGTTCAGCAGGGTAGCGAAGAGTGTAATCCAACGGAGTGACCTTGGGTAACATGAGGTGTCCGTCATGTCATCAGGGTCACAGTCACGGCGAGCGAGCTGCAGGCGTGGCCGGGCAAGGGCATGGTGCCCCAGCTCTCTCCAATGTCGCCCACCTCCAGGGCTTGCAGTGACCACCCAGCTCTGGAGCCGCTAGCAGGCTAGAGCCCGCCCGCAGCCCCAGTTAACCCAGCGCAGGAAAACCTTCTTCAGCGCTGAACAAATTGAAGGCAACTCGCACTGGACTCCCTTTGGACGGGACGCTGGACTCTGGACTCTGGACTCTGGACTCTGGACTCTGGACTGTCCTCCAGCGGCCCTCGTCCAGCCCAGTGTCTGTTCGGCCGCCCCTCCCCAACTCCCCAACTCCCCTTCCCTTCTGGAGCCCTTGGCGCCCTTTGCCTTTGGGGGAACTCTTTTCTTTCTTTTCCATCTCTCCCTCCCACCCCCCTCCGCTGGACTGGTCTAAATCCTCGACTCCAATTGCCGGCGTCGAGGACCTAGCACACCACGACGGCACGTTTTGGAACTGCATATTTTCCCACAGACGCCATCTCTGCGAGAGCACACTAAACACTGGCCTCGACGACGAAAGAGAGACACGCATTCCTCGCCATTGATATTGCACCGAGGCCGCCGCTTCACGCGCCTGCTGTGGACGGCCCGTCTTGTCTGTCCGCCTGTCTAGTGGTCTGGTACTGCGTTGTGTTATCCGGGGGACGATTCCTTAGCACCCTCACCCGGCCAAACCTGGAGCAACTCGATTCCCCAGCCACTCGAACCGCAAGCGCATCCGCACCGCAGCGCATCGCATTGCGGCCGAAAACCCTCGACGACGACCTGCGCTCGAGCTGCGACGCACTCGCACTCGACCCGAGCCCGTCTGCACACTGCTGCGCACCGGTCTTCGTTGTACCCGACGTCGCATTGCCCCCAGGCATGCGATCGCATCCGACCCGCGCCCGCCACCGTATACCAAATTGCAGCACTATAGCGACAGCACCACCACCCCTCGACGACGCCATTGCGATACCATCAACCGTCGTCTTCCCCGTGTAACATATCTCCTCCCTTTCTTACCGCCGCTCGACGCCGAACGACAGGGTCCCTAGGTCTTTTTCGAATCCACAAGGTTCACTCCTCCGCCCCGGCAGCCTTGGCTCTTACGGAGCATCGCCTCGCCTCCCCTCGCGGACAACAGCTACGACCGTCACCTCGCTCCCCGTCGCCGCTCCCCTCCCCCCCATGTCACGACTCTGTCGCTGTTTACCTTCACAATTTGTTTGCCAAGTCTGTCACCAATTGCACCAGGCCTAACCTCACGGTTGCCTCCCCCAGATATACACCGTATGCGCGCCGTGGGTGCACGGATGGTGGTCGTCACTCCTTCCCAGACGCTGGTCTGTCCATCTTGACTATAATTCTCGATAGCCCGTGCCGGCAAACGACTGCGCCAGTAGCAGCAGTCACAGAGCCTTGCCATCATGGATAGCGCCACGTGCAACGTAATATACGTTGACCGCAACGTGCGCGGCGACGCCCAATTGACTGCGGCATCCGATCTGGATACCATATTGGGCGAGTTCAGCGATCTCCGGGCTAATCTTTCGCTGCTTATAGCTGCCTTCGGCGACGGTATGTTGACCTCTAATAGCCACACCATCCCGTCATCTCAATTTTGCTGACATTGCGTAGTCCACGTGTGTACGACGGGCGTCTCGTGTATCGAGAGACTCCTTGACTTGCACGACACAACCACGGTGGAGCTGAAGCCCACGCTTGTACTAATAGACGTCCCGCATGACGAGCACACAGCAGGCTCGTTTTCTCCTTCGCGGGATCCCTCACCCCATTCGCGAGGATCCACGGAAGCCTCACAGGACGATGGTACGGAGAAAGAAGTGTACGGCCTCAGATTGCTGGAGAAAGTGGTCTATGAGACGCATTCACGGAATATCGCAAGACTGGTGGTGCCCATCCCCGTCATCACCTTCCCACTGCTACAAACCCCGCCGCCACTGGATAGCGCCAGCGAGCAGCCCGAAAACGCGCCCTACGCTGGATATCTGAGCGAATCACCCATCCCGGTGAACAGGATAGTGACCAACAGAGCCTTGTTGAGAAGATGTCTCGACTCCGGTGCGGTTGAAGTCATGGCCAGCCCCATACACATCAAGACGCTGCCCACGCTCGAAGTTCACGCCTACCGGGCCCACAAGGAGGCCCTGAAGGAGCAGCAAGCGTTATTGGAAATTAGAAGAGGCCGCAAACGCTCGTGGGTCGGTGTCCATGAGGAGAAGCCATTCTCTTATCTCCGGGAAGCAATGGTCTCGGGCCTTATGAGTGGCATCTGCAGATCTGGCGAGGAGAACGATGCTCTCATCGGTAGCGTGCGCCTTGGCGTGTCCTTGGAGCAAAAGGCCGCAATTATTGAAGCAGTAGGAAATTGGCATTTTGACGCACACGAGTTCGGTGATGACCAGCTTGTCATGGCTGCAAGTCTCATGTTCAGGCATGCATTCTCGATGCCCGAGCTGGAGCAATGGCGGATACCAACAGGTGAGTTTCAGGAAGAGACAGCAGGCGGCCACTTGGCATGCACATGGCCGACATTATGCATGGCTGACTGACTGTGACTCCAGACACGCTTACAAGCTTCCTCGTGGCTTGTCGCGCAGCGTATAACACGTTTGTTCCCTATCACAACTTCCGCCATGCTGTGGACGTACTACAGGCGACGTTCAATTTCTTGGTTCACATTGGTGCGCTACCGCCGTATCCTTTACAGTCGGGCGCCGATGTCACGCCAACTCCGAAGTCACCACTAGCTGCCTTGTTAAGACCGTTCGAGGCCCTGACGCTGCTGATTAGCGCCATCGGTCACGATGTTGGCCATCCAGGAGTCAACAACGGTTTTCTTGTCACACTGAATGCGCCGCTGGCACAACTGTACAACGATCGATCAGTTCTTGAATCATTCCATTGCGCCGCCTACTCGCAAATCCTTCGAAGATACTGGCCCAAGGTCTTCGAAAACACCAAAATGCGGAGCCTCATGATCAGCTCCATTCTCGCAACCGACATGGGTCTTCACTTTGATTACATGGCTAAACTTGGCAGCCTTCAGGACAGGCTGCAAGAGCATAATTCGACCGAGGGGTGGAATGGTAGAACAATCGAGACCGAGACTGCCCTGGCATGTGCGCTTCTTATCAAGTGCGCCGACATCAGCAATGTGGTAGGTAAAATAACGCTGGCAGTACCTGTACAACTCTGACAAATCACTAGGCTCGGAGATATGACGCCGCTCTGAAGTGGATGCACATCCTATGCGATGAATTTTCGCGGCAAGCATCGATGGAGGGCGAGATTGGCATTCCTTCTTCCCTTATCGCGGAGCCCAAGAAGGACTTCTTGTCCCTGGCCAAAGCCCAGCTCGGCTTCATGAACCTGTTTGCGATCCCGCTTTTTCAAGGCGTCGCAGACGTCTTGCCGGCCATGAAGTACACTGTTGAGGAGCTGGAAGGCAACAAGACGCTCTTCGAGAAGGCCATCGAGGACCTGCCGGAAATGGACGAGCAAAGGAGGAAGATCCTGCAAGACGGCGCGCTGTCGCCTCGAACCATGAGCATGGCCGTCATTGACCCTTCTAGCTCGCGGGATTCTTCGTCCAACAAAACGTTGGAGGCTCCGGTACAGAGCATCCCGGAACACCACGCCGAAATGAAAAAGGCGGGCTCCTCACCGCCT